TAATGGTAGCATTTGTGCGATGACCTCACTGCACGAGTATCAACATTTTGAAAACACCGCAACGTGTTATGGATGCTACTGCATATGTTCGCTATACTTCGCATCAGTTACATTATACACTACATTTCGTACCGATTGCAACTTATGGACATTTTCTAAATGAGGCAAGCTGCAACAGTCAACAGGATATAACCAAGGCATGGATAATAGTTGCCAAGTCTGATCAGTTCAGAAACGGCCATAGCTGACTCACTAGCTGTAACTGTGCAAACGCACCCCTAGCCACAGCGGCCATCTGTAAACCTATCGACAGTTGAGAATTCAGGAACCTGCTCTTTCAGGGTGAGTAAAATTCCATCCAATCTCCTAATTCAGTTTCTTGTTGATCAACAGCCTCTCCCTCTTATCTGTATCTAATTTCACCTTGTTCTCCCACACTGAGTCAATTACTGAACAGAGACAACATTCAGGGATACTTCCTGAGAGAGAAATGACAAGGAACTATATCACTAGTGCATCAGTTTTAAAAAACTTAATCTTCAAATGACCACTTCCCCACCTGAGATTGTAATAAAGTGGTTTAAGGAACTACCCTGACATCATTTCCTGACACTACAAGTCACCAGTGAAAGGCAGTGAAAGAATCAAGTCCTTTTATTTAAAGGCCTAAGGCAGATGTACTTTAAACATTTCACAATATAACTAGTAGTAGTATTCCCAAGTTTAAAATCCAATCAACTGGTACTCCACAGCATGAGCTCTAGCTATCCAGGATATGATATACATGCACATACCCAGTTTTACCCAAACAGTAATCATAATCCCAGCTTTAAAGAGGGGCTAAGCAGCCATCTCTCAGGATAACATAGAAGATGCTGAATACTTAGTGAAAGACATTCCTCCACCTTAATATTTGTGTCAAGTTTCTGCTAGTTATAGCAGCATAAGTAGTACAAGAGTATGCATGATTCCTATTGTGCAAAGTGCCAACTGAGGTAACAAGTTATTCTACTGTTAATATTTAAACTGAAAAGAAAGCAGAGTGAAGTAATTTCTGGAAAAGCAAGTTTATAGCATCTGTCAGAGATATTTTCCTACAAGGAGACTCAATCTGAGCTCAGCAGAGTTCCCCTGCTTCAAAACATATGGGTTACATACAGAGATCAGCATTCCTTCTCCTATACTTTTCCTTGAAGCCTTCAAGTCTATTTATACAGACACAACATCTCTAAAGTTATGCTTCAGGTCTCTAATTCAAGGTCACGTTTTGCTCAAAACAACATAGTTTTATGCCCTGGAGACGCAACTGAAAAGAGAACCAACTTACTTCCTTAGCTAGAATTCAGACAGAACTCCAATTCATCAAACAGGGTAACAATTGTTAAAGAGGTATGTCTGAGCTCCCCACAGGCAGGTATTGGTTTTATTTTCCTTTACTTGTAAACTCATCACTTCTATGCTACTACTCAGCTTTTGGGTAGCAGCAGGAGAGTCAGGGCTCTGCCACTATGTCAAAAAACCACTTCTCCCACTTCTCTTTCCAACACATGTGGAGCAGAAACAGGGAGAGGAGAGGAAATGGGTCTTTTGGATGCCAGTCAGCCTGCACCACCACAGTAACCCCATGGTAGCTTTACCATAGGTATGCCAGCAGCAGACCCCCAAGATTCAGGGACCCACACCTTAAGCACTGCAACCCGGAAACTGCAGGAAGAATGTTTTAAACAGTTGTCCGTCTTCCAGAAGATCACTGGACATACATCAAGAATGTCTCCCTGCTACTCCAGCTCTGCAGCACCTAAGCTGCAAGTAAGTGGATGGCTGTACCTCAGGGACACCTTCCTGGCATAGCTTGCCTGACCCCCTTGTGATTTGGTGCAGTGGTGTCCAAGCTGCAGGGAGCATTCGTGACAATGTGTCCACTATAGGACACCTAGACATGTGTATGTCTCCCACAGCGCCAAAAAGACTCATTTCCCCTCCTACTCTTCCCCTGGTTCGTCAAGAACCCATGGGTAGCAGGAAAAGGAGACAGAAGCAGGAGACAATGGTCCCTTTACTACTACTTTTCCAATCTTAAAGAATGAGTTCTCCCTGGAACCAGAACCAAGAGCAGAATATTCAGATTTTCAGCTACTGGCACCAAGGGAGGGATTTCCTACCCTGTCTTGCTCCTCCCTCTGCTTCTGGTGCCAGCAGAAACCTTCTTCTTCTTCACTGTGGAGGCAGAGCAGGGGTTGGAAGGGCTCTTAGTTCTTCTCTAAGCCAGCAGAGTTCTCTGCTAATTCCTACACAAGATAGCAGCACTTTAGTGTCGCCATGTGGAAGAGATACCAGGTTATAGATTTGTCAGTTCTGGAAGGATTGTTCTCATCTTTTTATCTTTCCTTAGCTCAGAACATTAAAGACATCGCTACAATCAACAGGAAATCCAAATACACTTTTTCTTCATGTATGTCATAACAAATATTAGCCTGCAGACTAACTCTGCTATCCTTGAAACTCAGAGTTGCTGTAAGACTAGTTATTGTTTATATAGGTCTAGGAGAGTCACACATGTCAATACTAGACGATTCTTCACAGTCCAAAGGGGGAACAAAAAGCACAATCATGACCTGGTGGTAGATTTTTAAGCAAGAAATGGAGTACCCATGCCCTCCAGATATTGCTGGACTACAACACAACAGCCTTTGCTACCATGGTCAATATCCTCAGTGGGAATCCAATATCTGCAGGATCACAGTTTTCCTACCCATGTTCTAAGTGAACTGGAATAGATCAGTTTCCAGTTCTCAGTTGCCTAACAGAAGTGTTAAAAAGCCTTCATATTCCCTTTAGGATGTTATACAAGAGAAACTGGTGTGTGAAAAGACTTGCTAGCTTCATATAAGTACTCATCATAAATTCCTCAGATAAACATCTGCTCAGAGGCACCTTGTTCCTTAATTCTTCACATGTGTCTCCCTGCACCTTTATTTTCCACTTGGCTCCAATTGGTGTGGTTGAGAGGTTTAGTAAAGAAACTAAATCAGTCCCATTAGCCTGAAGTCTGTTCACCTTTGGCTTAGTTTTTGAAGTTTCATACTGAGTTAACTGCTTAGCTCTCTGATATAATGGGACAATGTTCTCCTAAACAGATAACAGCATAATATTTTGACACTAAAAAAACAGTCCTTATTGTAAACCACCAAGAGATCTTAGTAAGCAACATAATCTTAATAAATGAAGAGCCAGTGGTTGAAGGCACCAGGCTAGACACCAGGAGACCATGAATCCCACTTTAGGCACAAAGCCAGCAGGGTGACTTTGGACCAGCCACTTTCGCTTACCCAGAGGAAGGCGGCAATGGCAAACCACTTCCGAAAAACTTGCTAGGAAAACTGCATGGACTTGTTCAGCCAGTTGCCAGGAGTCAAAACAAACTCAAAAGTACCCCCCCAAAAAACCCACTACAAATAAACTGGTTTCTGCTCCATTTATTTAGGAAGTTAACATCAAATCTGGGGTCACATACCTTATTAACCCACAGCTTGGTTTAACCACATTTTGTGAAGCAAGACATAGTCCTGGTACACATAAAGCACTAAGCCATAAACCCTAGTTTACCAACTACAATGGCTAACTTTTCACATCACACAAAGCCAGAACCAATCAAGCCACTTTAGGGTTTAGCACAATGCATGATCTGTATGTTTTACATAAACAGAATTACAGTCACTTTAGAACACTTGCTAAAATATTAATAGTACACTATTTTGCAAATAGAAGACATACTACAGGATGATTTCAATGCATTTATTTTCAGGGTAAAAAAATAAGAGTGTTTTTGTTTTTTTGGCAGATTACTTCCAAATATGTCCTTGTCTCCTTGGGGAGTCCACTTCATGATAGTCCTCCTCACTGGGGACTAGTCACGCTCTCTCAACCAACCTACCTCACAGAGTTATGGTGACAAGAAAAGCCACCTTGCATTTTCATAGAAAAGGTAGGATATAATCATCATAATAGATTGCTATAGCAACACTTCTTTTTGTTCTGTTTTTGAACTGATACAAAGATTAGCTTGATGCACGCTTCCCCCTGAAGATTTGAGAGGCTGGACTTCTCAGGGGCAAGTTCTTCACAAGTTTTCAGCATAGAAACCCAAGTCCTGCAGCCCAAAGGAAGTTCTACCTGCTGGGAGGGAGGCAGCTCAGGAAATCCTGTCTGTGAAGCACCAGCCATGTCTTCCCTTCCCCAGGATTTGCTTATTTATTTATTTTATTATTTGCTATTAGAGCTCAGAGCTGACCAGAGGTTTGTACAATGAAAAGCCTGATTTTTGGAAGGGGAGGGAGGAAAGAGAGAAGAAAAAGGAGCACATATCCCAAACGTAAAGCGTGCGTCCTTCTTGACTAGGAAAACCCTTCTATACTTTTACTCGGGCGGGTTAGTTACTGTTAAGAGAGAAAACGGAGCCCTGGATAACTCATCGCCTTCAGCGGCGCTAAACTGGGCTGCTTCAAAGCCAGGCTGTCGGGTATAAGCATTGGGCAGGTATCCGCCCGGGAGTGCCGGGCTAGGCTTCCCAAACCCACAGCCCCGCCCAGCTCCTGCAGGCTCTCCGACACTCCAGGAAGAGGCTCGGCAGCCGGTGGGACAAAGTCGACCCACATCTCCGCGTCCCCACCGACCCTCAAACTTTGACAGGGTCTCAGACCCTGGCAACCGACCTCTGGCAACCGACCCACCCGCCTCTCTTAACGCGGCTGCGAATATTAGGAAGGGGCTGCGAGGCGGGCAACCCCAAGCCCTTCTGCAGAAAATTGGGGTCTCTAGACGTCTGCCGCGACGCTCGGGATGCGAAACACCTTGAGGCGGGGGAGCGAAGCTCCTTGCCTCCCTCAGGCCAAGTGCCACACTCGCTGGGAGGCGAGGCAAGGCTTCCCCCCCCCCCTCCGCCCCGCGTCCAGCTCTCTGCGCCCAGCCCCGAAGAGCGCCGCGAGCGCGCCAAAGCTCACCGATGGAGACCAGCTTGATATTCTCCTTTTCCAGGAACTCGAGCGCCACCGAGACGTTTTCCAGCTGCATCTGCCGGAAAGTGGGTCTCTGGTGGTACTTGCGGTACATGCGCTTCTGGCTGAGTACCTCCAGCAGGGCGATGAGGCGCAGCCCGTCACTCAGGTCGAACTGCAGGTTGCCGATACGCTTGTTCACGCAGCGGAGGTGCTCGTTGCACCAACGGGTGAAGGTGTTTTGCTGAATCCGCTTCCAGGGCGCGTCGTCCGCCAAGTCCTTCTCGGTCACAGGCATGGCTGCGGAGTCCGCCTCGAGGTCGCTACGGCCCAAGGGATGTTGGTGCTCCTGCCACCGAGGGTGCGAGCCCTGGCTGAGCTCGCTGCTGCTGCTGCTGCTGCTTCCACCTCCGCTGCTGCAGTCACTGCGAGCAGCCTGGCCCCGCGCCTGCGTGCTCATGCTGTGGCCGCCCCGCCTTCTCGTGTCTGGGCTATAACGAGCGGGCAGACCAACCAACCAACCAGCCAGCCTAGGCCGGGTGTCTCCCTCCCTCCCTCCCTGCTGCTGCTGCTGCTGCTGCTGCTGCTGCTAGTGGGTCGCGGCCAAACGCGGGCGGTGAATCTGCAGGGCAGGAGAGCCGCGCCGTCAGCTTAGCAACGCCAGTCGAGCTGGAAGCGGCTCTCTCGCGCTCCGGACCCACGTGTCGACTTACAAAGGAGCTGGCGAGGGCGTCTTTTCGGCGAGACCTTAAATACCCCTCTCCGATTAACGGATTGGATCCTGGCCAAGGAAGGGGCGGGGCCTGCAAAAGGACAATCGCGGCGGGAGGGGGACGAGGAAAGTTTTCCCCCCACCCTTCAGAAGCGCCGGGCGGTGTTTGAGCCCCTGCGTCAATTGGCTACTGCGGAGGCAGGCAGAGTGTGGCCCTCCAGCTGTCGGACCCCAAGTTCCACTAACCACAGCCAACATGGCCAGGGATTAGGGTTAATGGGAGTTGTAGTCCAGGGTTCCCTGCAGGAAATATACCACCTTTCATCTTGGGGAGATTAAATACAAAGATATTTGTATTTATAACCCTCTGGCCCAGTTTTCGGAGGATGGGTGGGTAGCCTGTATACACTCCTATAAAGCCCCCCATATTTGGGTAGCAAAAATCCCGACAACCGCTAGATTCCAAAGAGATGCAGAATATTTTTAACAACCGTCTGATAGGCCAGATTTTGCAGCCCAGGTATGGCACACCTGGAGGAGTTGTGGGATATATATCTGACCAATTATTAGGCACCTTTATTCCATGAGAGATGTGTTAACTTTTTAAGTGCCATAAAGGCGTGTTGTTTTGCATATCAGACTAAAGGTAGCAAGCTCTGTATAGAAGAGACTTTAAGCAAAAGCAGTTTACCATAGGGTAAGGGGCGGGGGGGGTTATGTCATTTGCTGAGATCTCTAGTCCTATACCAGCTATTAAATGTGCAGGCCAGAAATGCTGCTTCTGGTTTGGTGCTTGAGACTTTCTATTGTTTCTCCAAGCTAAACAACAACAGAAAGAAAATACAGTAGTTGCAGGCCAGATTCTGTTGGATGGTGCTTTTGTTTCTAATAAAAAGCAAAGTAGATCACTCAAGCATAAAGCCTGTCCGGCTCTGATACAGAAATCATATTCTAACTCAGAAGTCACAAAAACCTGCCAGCTTTCAACAACGCTTCTCTTCATCAGGAAAAAGCACTTATTTAATAAAATCTTACCTCGTGAGAAGGTCTGGGATTCTCAAAAGCTTGCTATTTTATTTACTTTTGAGGTGGTCTAAAAAAAAAAATTCTCATCCTAATATGGATTTTTTTTTCCCTTATGGCCAGTACAGACTTTTTGCTTTTTGTAATGCTGTTGAAAAAACTCACAGAGTGATGAGAAGTATTCACATGGCAAGCCAAAAGACCCTGTTGTAGATGGACAAAATTCGCAGTATAAAACCAGCGTAACACAAGGAAGACATGACATCTTTACAGCAGTTTGGGGTATAGCCTTCTAGGTTTTGAAAATACATGCCAGACAACAAGAAATGCATATGAGGAATAATTAAAGATGGAGATTTTTTCCCATTCTTAAAAGTTCTTGCAATAATAACTTTAGTAATGTATTCTATGCTATTTTAAACTGCATTTTCGCTTTTAAAAAAGGAAATCCATTAAATTAATACAACCTATTTATCGGTGAGATAAAATGGAGGGGAATAACTAAACACCTTGCTGAAATATGAAAGGTTAAATGCCTGGACAATTAATGTGGCATCAAAAAGAAAATACAGTGGTACCTCTAGTTATGAAAACCCCTCCTTACGAATTTTTCAAGATACGACCAGCTCCAGCCCCAAAAATTTACCTCTACT